TTTTTTTTTTTTTTTTTTTTTTTTTTTTTTTTTTTTTTTTTTTTTTTACACGTAAAGATTTAGTTTTAAAAATAAAAATTTAGAAAACACCCACAAAAATTGAAAAGTAGCCGACACCTTTATTTTTATAAACAAAAGTTTAAAAAAATTTATCGTCAATATATAAATAAATATTATATATCGACTCCTCGTATATTATTTTTAAACTTTTTAATGTTAATATTTTATAAAGATAGTAACAATAAATGATTTTATTTTATTTTATTTTATTTTTAAATTTAAAGGGATATTTGAAGTTTTCTTCCAACCTAATTATTATAGATTATTATTATTATTTGTTTCATAAAGTGTTGATGTATATGCTCTGTCCACGTGTGATTATTATCTAATTTTAAAAGGATAAAGCTTAAGTTGGTGGCATAAAGAAGTATTATGGAGATAAACAACGTTGATTTGACACCATTATGTCAGACTAATTAAAAAAAATAATAATAAATAAAACATTATTAAATACCTTTGAAAATAACTAAACGGACAAAACTTGAAAAATTAGAAAATAAATAAATAAAAAATCTCCACGGTAAAATAAATATGCAATTAGTTATGTAATTAATTACTCTAATATTTATGAATGTAACGAACCTCGAAATTCCTCAACCAATCGGCTATGAAAGCATTTAAAGAAGAGCAAAAAAGGAGTATGGTGGAAGGTCTGGTCTGTGCAGTCTGCGTGGTCATTTTCCACATTCAAAGGTTCCATCTTTGACATATTAGCTGCCCCGTGAGCCATTATTAGCTTGCAAATATATCGCAATCGATCAAACTTATGTAACGTTACTTTTTTAATCCGATATGGTTTGATACCCTATGAGATATGCTCGCCAGTTGATTATTTTGCTAGAATCGAATCCAGGCACGAACATGAAACTAAAGATACACAAGTTCTTCATAAACAAGAGCCAAAAAAAATGGGAAATGAACAGCGTTTAGTTTTTAATTACAAAAACAAAAACTTGGCTAGGTAACTAAGAAAGTTGGGACATAACATGGAGAGCAATGGAGTTACGAGAATTTCGGTTTCGGCACGGGCGAGGAGGATGAGGTTTCAGGATGCAGGGGGCCAGGGCCAAGCTTTTGAATCCAATGGAGCAGCCCTTTCTTATGGTCTTGGAAACTCGACCGCGGGTTCCCCGTTAAACTCAGTGTCCCATCACGGGCAACCGAAGCTTCGAATTGCTCTAATACCTTCACAATCTGCCAGAAATCAGGTCTCTTGTCCGGTTGCACAGACCAACATTGCTCGATCAAAGCTCGCATTGCCAACGGGCAATCGCTCGAGATAACAGGCCTCAGATTCTGGAAACCCCAATGCACAAACTTCTTTTAGTTTTCTTGAAAGAACATAATATACAAACAAAGAACATAATACTTTTGTTCTTAGCCATTTTTTTAGTTAAAAACATTTTCGAAGCAGCGCTCGAAATCGAGCATCGATGATATTCGTGGGCAAGAAACAGTGGCACTCACTACATAAACATGTAACATGTGAACTTCCAGAAGCAAACATAGAATAGGTATCAATCAAACACCATGGCTCACATGATAAACCTAAAGAAGAAGATTAGTCAAGGAACACGTGATCAATAAAACTGACCTTATTCACAACAGCAAAGGCTGCTTGAATGGGAGTCATATCCTCGTAAGGAATTGCACCAGACACCATTTCCCACAACATGAGCCCAAAGCTGTATACATCAACTTTTCGACCATAGGGTTTATGTTTGATCATCTCCGGTGCCATCCATCGATACGTTCCGGGATCATCGGCTAATGGGTCAAAAAAGGCCTCAGGACAAGCTATCCCAAAATCTGCAATTTTCAGGTGGAAGTCCTCATCAATAAGAACGTTCTCAGGCTTGAGATCCCGATGGATTATGCCTTGGGAATGAATGTATTCCATGCCACGAGCCACATCTAAAGAGAACTCAATTAGTTTCTGCAAAGGGAGAGATTGGCGCTCGAGTTTGAGCAAGTACGCCCTTAATGATCCTTGAGACAAATATTCAGTAATGACACAGTAAACTGGTGGGTTCCTACACGCAGCTACAAACTGCAACAACAAATAAACAAACATCAAGAAAACCAAGAACAGCCCAGTTCATAATATCGTTTATAACCCAACAATTGAATTACCTTTAAAACATTAGGATGGTGGAGACGAGATAAAAGGGTTACTTCTCTGGTGAATTGCTTCTCCAATCGAGAAGCAAGCGCTCCACTATCGTCGTCCTCAGGCACTCTAATGAGTTTAACAGCAACAGGTTCATCGTTGTATTTTCCATGATAAAGACGACTGTGAGCTCCATGAGCGAACCTTAACCCAACAAACAGCTTGGATAGATCAACGCTCCAGTCGTCGGCTGTTTCGACCGCTGTGACTTTTCCGCCACCGGAATCGAAATATTTGGTCCAGGAAGAGTCCTTCCGGAACTTTGACTTTTCACCCCCTTTGGCCGAAGCTAGGAGTTTCAGGGGACTGGTATTCGACGATGTCTTGGAAGTGGACGATTTTGAATCTTGCGGGTCCTTATTGAATAGCTTGTTCTTGAATTCCCTAGTTCGTTCTCTAAGTCGAGGCGTTGGAGTCGAGAATCTCTTACTGGCGGATTTTGCTTCCTTGAAAACTTCAGAGAGGTTGCTCTCGGGAAGAGGAGACAGAGACCTCTGTTTGTTGGCTATGAAATTTCGCTGAATCTTTGAGATATCAGGATTTGGTTTCTGGGCGGATGAAGCTGATTGAGGCCTCGATTTCAAGCCGTAATTCCGAGGTGGTGGTTCGACGACGAAAGGAACAGGGTTCAATCTTAATGAGTCCCATCGATGATAAACTGTGTGCGAAAACTTGGTTCTCCTAAGCCAAGAATTAGCCTCTTCGTCCATTCTTCCCCCTCTCGATTCCTGCAATTCCTCGATGAAATAAAACCCTAAAAGATCTTGTAACAAAAGACGTTCTTAATTTCCTCCCACTCCAGCTCAGGAGGAGGACTAATTTGATGGCTCCAAACGCTCGATTTCTTCAAACCCATCAAACAAGACTAACGAAGAATAAAAAACATTCTTCGTTACATCAGACTAAAGAACCATGGAGACCCACAAAGACCCACAATAAATAATCGAGAATTTGGATCGCCCAGATCCTATTCCTCCCACCAGCAAAACAATAGCTTAAAGCAAAAACCAACTACCAGATACAGAGATGGCTCGCAAGCCACAAACCAACACTCTGCCTGGTTAACTCCAATCTCCCTTCCTCCTTGAGCCCCATCTTTTTAATTCGATTTCAAAGTCAAACTCCACCTTGAGTAAAAGTCTGGCAAATCCCACACAAAGATCCACAAATAAATAAATCCAAATTATGTATAATAATAATAATAATAGAAACAATCAATTGCACCCAAATAGAAAAATCCCCCCAAAATAACCAAAAACCACAAGAAAAGTCGTAGGCCAAAGAATTTATCCCCTTCCCCTTTTACTATTCAAACAAACCCATTAACCAGAAACCCGACAAACGAGAAAAAAATAATTCCAGAGACCTAAAAAACAAGCAGTAAAAGGAAAAACCCAGGAACAATGGAGACCTCACCTCAATCAAGCATGCGGGAAACCTTTCATTTCACTCCGCATCCCATTCACTGAAGAAATCGGTCGAATGATCGAGGAGACATACAAAAACATGGAAACCAATCTGTCAGGCGAAGGGGGATTCAATTTCGCGATGATCTGGTGTCATCATAGAACAAAAGACTATTGGAGGGCGGTAGTAAATAAGATTCCATAGAAAGGGGATATTTTCTGAAGGAGAGATGTGACGGTGCGTGGTGGGAACCACATCGGAAAAGTCGTAAAACAAGGAGGAATAGAAAGATGAGATTGGAATTTAAAATAGATTAAAATACAAGAATTAGTGGAATTATTGAGGTCATTTTCGGCAACAATTTATTGGGTACGAGTCACCTTTACCCTTTAGGCCACGGCAGTCCAGCGTGGTTTTGCAATGTTTTTGTGTTTTGGTACGGTTGCACGGATACTGTGTACTCTTTTTATATATAAATATATTTATTTACTTATTTATAATTTCTCTCTTCAACCTAGGATTTACCCGGCTTGGAGATATTGGGTGTTTTTGTCTCCATTTATTTATTTTGTTGGACACCAAACAGATTAAAGCATCGTTTGAACGACTGGGCCGGGTTGGGAACACCGTATTAGAGAAGCCCAGAAGAAATGTCAGTGGAAGGCCCAATTAGAGCATGAATGGGCCGCCAATTTTGGCGTTGAAAACGACATGATTCCGGAGGTTCTTCTTTTTCAAAATCGTATCTTGTCCTTTTGTGTCTGTCTGTCGTTTTGCCCTTCTTTAGTCGTTTCCTTCCACAACGGCATTAGCAGCACATGATCCCATGATCAAGTTTTTTTTTCAATTTAGATAATAAATCTGTGATTTTACCTTTAAATAAATAGAACGTAAATGGAAAGAAACAAGCTGAATTATGAAAACAGAAAAAGAAAAAAAAAAAAAATAGCGACACAATGATAAAATTGTTATTATATATATTTCATAATAATAATTAATCAACATATTATTTTTTTCACTTAAAATTAAAATTTGAAAAGAGGTGCAGGGCATTTCCTAAAACCCCCTATAAATTTTTGCCTCTACGCTCTGCAAACACCGTCCCCTACATTCTAAATCCGTTCGAGTCTAGCAGCCATGGCTTCGACTCTCTTCAAATCCTTCTTTTTTCTCCTCTTCTTCGCCATTTTCGCCGTCTCCACCGCCGACGACACCACGGCGGCGGAAACACTCGCCGCTCCCCCCCATCACTACGCCGCTGTACCACCTGCTCATCACCATCACCACCACTCTCCCACTCCGGCACCAGTGGCTCCCCCGACCCACTTGCCGCTTCACCCACCAGCTCAACCACCCAGCCACCACCACCACCACCACCACATCCACAGCCAGCCTCCGGTTCACCCACCCCATTATCACCTCCCTCCAGCTCACGCGCCGGCTCCCGGGCACCACCACCATCATGACGTCCACCCATTGCCACCTCCTACTCACTCGCCGGCTCCGTTACACCCTCCGAAGCCTCGGCTGCTGAGGAGCTTCATTTCAGTTCAAGGTGTCGTTTATTGCAAGTCCTGTAAATACGCCGGAGTTGACACACTTCTCGGAGCTACCACCGTCGCTGGTTAGTTCGGAACTCCTCTTTTGCTCGTTCCTTAAACTCTGAACAGAAATTTGACCCTTTCAGTAACTTTTAACAATGTAAAACTGTGGACCATGAAAAGTTTAAACCCTTTGGATTCCGGTAAATTAAATTTGATGATGAACAGAGTAAAAGAATGTTTGAAAATTTAAATTTAAAAGTTAAAACCCTTTGGTCCAACCTCATAATAAAAGCCTGCAATTTTGCAGTACGACGTGATATAAATGATGATGCATGATTAATGACGTGGCAGGTGCGACCGTGAAGCTGATTTGCCAGAACACCAAATACCCATTGGTTCAAACCGCCACCACTGACAAGAACGGCTACTTTTTCATCACAGCACCAAAGGCCGTCACCAGCTACGCCTTCCACAAATGCAAGGTCGTTCTCGGCTCATCCCCCACCCCTTCCTGCAGCAAACCCTCTGCCCTCCACGGCGGCGCCGCCGGAGCACCCCTCAGGCCCCAGAAGTCTTACATCGACGCCAACAAGCTCCCCTACGTCCTCTACTCCGTTGGCCCTTTTGCCTTCGAACCCACATGCGCTCATCATTAGTTTTCTTTTTTTTTTTTTTCTCTTAATTTTATGCCTTGAAACGATGTCGTTTGTTTGGGTTTCTCGTTTCTGATTTCTACCGCTGCTTTCTGTACTGCGCGGTTTGTTGTTGGTTGCGTTTATGAGTGCAAATAATATGTTTATTTAATTTAAATGTTTATTTTTAATTATCTTTAAATTAAAGTTAACCAAAATCTCAAATTGATCGCTAAATTAAAAGTAACTGACGTGGATTTTCCGGAAGGGTAAAAAGGGAAAGGGAACTATGGGTTTCCCGTTGTGGACCAACCAATCAATAAAAAGGCCATTTACATGCAAAAAATAATACCTTTTTTTATTTTTGTAATAATTTGGCCTCTGCTTTGTTACACCGAATCACTCCTCCAATTATGTTGCTGACCACTACTTTGCCTTTTTTTATGGCCCCACGCGCCTCTCCCTCGTCAGCACTCACGCCCCGAAATCTTAATCATTATTATTTTTCTTTAAAAATACCATATATTTTTAAATATAATTCTTCATAATTGATTCCCTGTTAATATGGAGCGGGCCGCTCTACATGGCCCATTTAACCAACCCTCACACCACCCTATGGCCCATTAGGCCTCATTTTCTGTTTCAACCATGGGCTCCACACTTGCACTCCAGCCCAGGTTGCTACAACCAATAATTTAAATGCCCATTAATATATTCTATAATGAAATATATAAATCCATAACTCTCACCTACTCAAATTAATTATGAGTGACGTTAGAAATATAATATTGCTTGTTTTTATATATAAATAATGGAACATGGGACAAAAATTTGGAACCTTAAATGCTCCAAATAATGGGAGGGCAAAACAGGCACTTTGTAACGTCAAATTTTTCTAATTATTTGAACTAAATAATTGGCATAATTATTTGAACTAAATAATTGGCATAATTATTTTTCACCTTTTACATAAATTTGTGGTTAATTTTTTTTATTTTGAAAACAATTTTGTAAGCCACTTTTCAAGATTAACTTATTTTTATTTCAATTTTTATATATTTTAGTGAAATTATGTGTTTGATTGGATATACTAAATGATTGAAAATAGAATATTATTGATATTTAAAATTAAAAAAAATCAGTAAGTTCGCGGATGATTATTTATTTGGTACTTAAATGCGGTGGCGTTGAGTCGTTATGGGTCGTGGAAAAAGTCAACGGGAAAATTGAATTTGTGTGTGGACCCCACAACCTTCTCTTTCTTTATTTAAAATTCCAAACACTGATTTTCTTTCTTTTATTTGTCTCAAAACCCAATCCATCAATGAAAATTTCTCCAAGACCCGATCCATTACTCCGTCAGTTCAACCACCGCCGCCGCCGCCGCCAAAAATGATGAACAGATCCGAATCCACAAACCCATACCCGACCACTTTCGTCCAAGCCAATACGTCCTCCTTCAAACAAGTTGTCCAAATGCTCACCGGATCGCCCGAAACCGCCAAGCAAGTTTCGACACCCGATCCGCCTTCCAAAACCCATATCCCATCCATCAAATCTATCCCCCAACGCCCACACTCCAATTTCAAGCTCTATGAGCGTAGAAATGCCCTTCGTAACCTCCAAATCAATCCCGTTTTTGCCTCTGTTACTGCCGGTTTCTCGCCCAGAAACCACCCCGAAATCCACTCTCCCAGTATGCTGGATTTCCCGTCGCTGGTCATCAGCCCCGTCACGCCGCTCATTCCCGACCCCTTCGGCCGATCGCAGCCGTTGAATTCTGAACCGTCGAACAATGTCAGTAGTAATCCGGGTTTGGACGTGGAAGCAGAGGCTAACGCCATTAGAGAAAAAGGGTTTTATTTGCACCCGTCGCCGACCACCACTCCCAGGGAATCGGAGCCTCAGCTTTTGCCTCTTTTTCCGATCACTTCCCCTCCACGACCTGGTCCAGGTCCAGCTAGCTCTTCTCCTCCCTGAATTCAGTGGCAATTAAGATATTTATTAATTTTTTAAAATTTTTATTTAATCCCTTTGGAATTCGAATCGTGAATGCTGTGGAGAGGAGAAAGACGTCTGTAATGGGGTTTATTTGCAGAGAATTTCAATGGAAAATCCTTGTTACTGTTGTAAAATTCAATGTTTTTACCGTTCGGTAGTCAGGTTGTTAAAAAATAAAAAATTAAAAAATTAAAAAATTATTACCTACCCTTTATAATTATTCAATACAAATATATTAAAAATTTATAAACAAACACAAATCAACCTATAATCCCGATAATTGCAGATATAAGAAACAAAGGAATGAAGCCTGAGTGCCATTTTTACAACATTGAGTTACAAGAATGGATGCAGTCAAAGGAAAAAATGAAACAAAGGAATGAAGCCTTTCCCTGCTCTTCACTTCCACAACTCTTCCATTGGGATGCCACGCTCCCTTGCGACATCCCGAAACTGTTTCATCTTCATCACGGCGACCACCGTCGCTCTGGCATTGTTGAGGGCATTATTACTTCCTAGTTGCTTCCCTAACGCATTCTCGACACCCGCCATTTCGAGGACGATTCTCACTGCTCCACCAGCAATCACACCAGTACCGGGAGAAGCAGGTCTTAGCATTACTTTTGCTGCTCCATAATCTCCCTCCGACCTACAAGTTTCCACACTTTACTTACCCAACATTTACACTAACACACGCCAACCCAACATGTGTACAGTACTTTACCACCATTCATAATTTGAGGTTTCCTTTATAAAGTTTGATTTGGCTTCTCAATTCCTGGAATCTGCTAACGTTTACATCTAATAGACGCAAAGTAAACAATATCTGCTAGCAGTGAACTTGGACGGTTACATTTTGTCCAAGGCTTATAATATTCTAATTCCTTTGGTCATAAAAAGAAGTCTGGAAGCCGTTGAAGATGGTTGGAAGTGAGTCTCACATTAGCTAATTTCGGGAATGATCATGGATTTTGGGGAAGCCCAAAACAAAGCCATGAGAGCTTATGCTCATAGTGGACAGTATCATACCATCGTGGAGAGTCGTTAGTGATTCCCAAGAGAAGCTTGTGATGAGAAGGACAAGTTCTCTATAGTCTAATTGTAGTCTAATTGCAGCAGGCTCTACATAAAACTGGGAAATATACTTAAAAACATAGTCATCTGCAATAGACAACTAAAAAACATCAAAAGAATGCCAGCCACAAGCAGCAAATACCTTCACAGCGACCAACTTGAAATGATGATTCAAAGTTCAAACCGCATACAGACTACAGAATTCGTATTAACTAAAAACAAATCATATTGGTTGGAAGGGGAACGAAGTATTCCTTACAAGGGTGTGGAAACGTCTCCCTAGTAGACATATTTTAAAATCGTGAGGTTAACGATACATAATGGACTAACGGCTAACGGTAAGCTTAGGCGGTTAGATTCAAAGCATTCCTACAGATCACAATAATAATCCAATTCTAGTCTTCCTTAAATCCCATATTTTTATACTTCAAACCCTGCAAAGGTGGGGAATGAACATTCCATCTTTGAACGCATTCCCATATCAGCAAACCAAAGTGTAACAATAGAGCTGCTACAGAAATTCCAAGAAGTACAATAGAACATAGCCCAAAATTCGAGAATAAGCGTAACAGTTCTACTTAGTAAATGGAAAATGAAATGACTAACCTGTGGGGAAATGTTAGGTACTTGGTCATGGGAACAGTGACAATATTCCGGCGAGCATTGATGGCCGATTTCTGAACAGCGGAGATGACTTCTTTAGCTTTACCAACACCAACACCCACTTGCCCCTTTTTATCACCCACAACAACAATTGCCCTAAAATGCAACTGTTTCCCACCTTTAACCACTTTAGTCACCCTACGAACTTGCACAACCCGCTCGTCGAACCCATCCCGCGCCTTCTCCTTCCTGGCCTTCGATCCGAATCCGCCCACTTTTTTCATCTTAGAATCCATTACATAAATGTCGTTTCCCAGAACACTGACTCCACTGTAAGCCGGCCCATAGAGCTCCTCGTAAGCGGCCGCAATTTCATCCTCGCTTTCCAATGGGCCTTCGTCGAAGGAGGGAGGGGCAACGAAGCCTTCCGGGACTTCGGGGGGGTCGTAAACCACGTCTTCTTCGGGATTGACACTCTCGAAGAAGGTGGTCTCGACGTCTGAGGGTTTGGCTCGAGCTACAGAGAGAATCAAGGAGGAGGAAATTGGGGGTACGGACACGGAGGAGTGAAGCACGGTGAAAGGCTTCAATGGTGGAATTGGTAGGCAGTAAGACGGAGAGGAACGCAGGGAAAGAGAGGAAATGGGGACGATAATCGAAGAAGCCATTGAAGAAAGGAAGGAAGGGTTGAGAGGGAGGGTCTGTGGGTTCAGAGATGGAGGCTTATCCCCAAATGGACTCCACATGGGTAAGGCGTTACGACTAAAGGAAACCCGGTCCCAACGACGTCGTTTTGAATATGGATAATTCCATTCGTTCAATTTAAAAAAATACCCTGTTTTCAATTATATCTCCAAATTTAAAATTAAAAAAAAAAAAAAAAAAAAAAAAAAAAAAAAAAGAATTTCTCAATCAATTTAATTAAACTTAAAGAATATCCCATATAGACATAAATATAAAAGGATTAAACAAGGCTGGCCATATCAACAAAATTAACAAGGGTGTTCATAAGTATAACAAAAGCAAAGAAGATAGAAGAAGAGAAGGCCAGAAAGTAGGTAGAACAAGAACAGTGTCATATATAATATAATGATTACACAAAAACAGAGCATCTGGCGAGCGGTTGCTGAATGGTGGGCCTTATATGTTCACGTTCTGTCATTGCTCAAATAGTCAAAAAGAGGGAACTTGAATCCACTAACTTCCGGCAGAGTATCAAGCCCTCTAAAGCAATCCTCCAACCCATTCCCCGCCTGCAAATCCTCCCCCCCTTCCTTATTCCCATTCTTCTTCTTATTATTATTAATACTATTATAAATCCCTTTTGCAGCAGCTCCCATCATATCGGAGGAGGAGGGCTGCGGAGTAGTGCTCAAATATGAATCCGAAGCCATGAGGGCGTTGTTGTTGTTGTTGTGGCTGCTGTTGCTGCTGCTGCTAGTGCTGCTGCTGCAGGACAGCGGGCGGTCCTCGTCTTCTGGCTTGTGTTTGAGCTCTTCGATCAACATAGCTAAAGAGGCGTCCTCTTCTTCGTCTTTAATGCACATGTTTGTGAAAGAACACTGCTGGTTGTTCTTGTTGTTGTTGTTCTTGTTGTTCCTCACCAGCTCCTCATTTTCTTCCCTTGAATCATTCTCACCTTTCACAACCGCCACGTACTGTCCTCGTGTACAATCACACACACACATATATATATGCAACCCACACATACTCAACAACAATAAAATTCAAATTTAAATTTAAACAACTCCCGGACATAATAAATCAATTATACCAATTATTAATGAAGTTTTTTTTTTTTTTTTTTTTTAATTCATCTCTTAACCTATACTTAAAATTAATTCAAATAAAACAAATAAATACCTAGATAGTTATCCATATTTTTTTATATTTTGGGAAGGTTTCCACCCGCTTGAAAATAATCCACCATTTTTTCTCCTCTTCAATTGATGTGTGATCTCACAATCCACCCGTTTAGGGTCCAGTGTCTTCACTGACACTCATTCTCCTCTCCAATTGATATGGGACCCACCAACCCACTCTCTTCAAGACCCACCTAGTGTCCACCTCCCCTCTCCAATCGATGTGAGACCCCCTCCGGGGTTCAACCTCCTCGGTGGCATATCATCCAATGTCTGGCTTTGATACCATAAGTAACAGCTCAAACATACAAGCTTGATCTTTTTTCCATCTGAAGTTTTATCAGAATTTTTAAAACACATATGTCTGCAGCTTTCTAGAAAAATGTTTTGTTTTCTCATTTGACTAATAACCCAGTGAGAAGAAAAAAATGGGCTCTTATTTATTTATTTTTTAATAAAAAAAATGTAAGGGTAGAGAATTAAAAAGATAATTTTGAGTTAAAATTGAAAAGAAAATAGGATGAAAAAGAAAGTGGGAAATCCTATCTGGCAAAAAGAAAGTAATTATAGGAAGAAGAAATAAAAATGATATGGTACGTGTGGAAAGTCGCTGTTAATATTTGTCCATATTATTATTATTATTATTTCTTTGTTTTCCTTTTCCTTTTCCTTTTTGGGTCTCATCTCTTTACGCATCTTTCCAAGCGTTACTAAACCACCATATTAGGAAACCCCACACATCATAATTATCTTACTAATTTTCATAAAATTCTAAATCAAAGTCAAATTTTGGAGCCCCCAAAAAAAAATTTGAAAAAAAAAATGATACTCACCATGTTCTTGCATTCATCCTCGTAAAGGGTCATTAAATCTCCTATCTTCAGACCATTTTGTCTAACAAAATCACCTAAATCGCATCAAAAAACACATACAAATCTGTAATCATCATCAAAAGAACAAGAACAACAAGCAAAGTAATGAGTGATTCTATGGGATTGAAACCTGTGTTTTCCAGCACATACATTCTACTTCTGTTGTTCGCCCAGTACCTATAATTAAATTGAATCCATTCGTACACGAAGAACACGAAGAACAAGAACAAGAACGCGAACAATAAATAGGATTTTTCTTACTTGTATTTCATGGCCCATTTTTTGTTTGAGTGGACCTCTCTCATCACAATTTGGATGCCTTCCTTATCAGTGAGCAATGGTAGATTCTCTTCTGCCTCCCTCTGTAATAATATGAGCAATTCGTCAGGAAATTAATAAATAAAAGTTTTAAACTTGATAGCTGTTTGAGTGCTTTTCCCCATTTGCATGTTTTTCTGGGGATTATTTTTATGTTATTTTCACTGTTCTATTGGATTTTAAACAAATTTCAAAATACAAACCTTGGGGAGGACGATCCTGCCCAAAGACCCCACATCGCTGTTCTTCAGGTCCTTCTTCAGCAGCATTCTAAGAATCTACGAGCAACAATAACACCAACAATATAATAATAATAATGATGGGAATAATAAAAATCAAAACTTGATGACACCCACCTTGTTATCTGGCGTGCAGAGGGTAAAATTATTCGGATTGGCGTTGTTATGTGTATCGGTGTTCAGGAAGTGGGTAGCCATTAATCCCTTTGAATACTCATCGTTATTATAACCAAAACCGGAAGAGGAGGCGGCGGAGGTGGAGGAGGAAGAAGAAGAGGTTCGACTTAAAGTAAGGGTTCTTTGGCGGGCGAGTCTTCTCTTACTTCTAGCCACTTTGGTACTCCAAGCATCAAGAACCCTTCTTCCTTCGTCTTTTTGAAATAAAGAAGTTGAGAGATCGTTGAAGCCGTAGGAGAGGAAGGCGGAGGAAGGCGGGAAATGGGATGGGGGTTGGTCGTGAGGGGGCGGAGGAGGAGGAGGAGGAGGAGGAGGGTTTGTGAAAAAATAGGATTTTGGGGCGGGGGAGGAGAAGCCTAAGCAGTGTTGTGAGAGAATAGGTGGGAGATGGGAGTCTTGTGGAGGAGGAGGAGGATGGGAGAGGAGAATGGTGGCGGCGGAGAGAGTGGCGGAGGAGAGTGGAGGCAGATCGTAGTGGTGGTTGTCATCGTCCATATGAATGGTAATTAAAACAAAAAGGAAAAGAGAGTTGGGGAGATGGTTGAAAGTAAAGTCTTATTTGGATGTGTAGGTCAGGCGAGCGAGTGGGGGTTAAAAAGGGTGGGAGAGAAATGGGGTTTGGGAGAGGGAAATGAGCGGTCCGAGGCGGCGGAGAGACTGACAGGTGGGCGGAAGAGTGTGGGTTTTGGGAAGCACATTCATCTGAGCCAAAAGGTCAAGAGTAGTGTGACTTGACTATATATATATATATATATATCGAGATATATAGTATTAATTTATTTTTTATACACCCAATTTTTATTATACTTATTTTTAAGTAATGCTACGAAATTCATAAAATTAAATAATATATTATTTAATAACGTGTCAAATGTTAAATAATGAGGAGTGTTTTTTTGGCTCGTTCCTTTAGAATGAAACTAAATACCATATGAAGACATCTGGGAAAAGAAAATTTTAAAAATATGCTATAAATTTAATCAGTAAATTTTAATGTAAAATTTTACCCTCGTTAAAAGGATAATATTTACATTTATTTAGTCTCAAAATTTTTAATGAATTTGTAAATTTCTAAAAATTTATAAGGGTTTAGATAGTTTTATATTGGTGTTATTAAAAAAAATATAATAAAATAATGTATTCCCAACCTTATAATATTAAATGGTATGAACATTAATATTTTTCTTATAAAGTCGATGAAAAATACTTATTATTTTGGAATATTTAAACAGGTTGACTTATCCTTATTTTTAACTAAAAATCAATTAAATGGATAAAGAAAACAATAAATAAATTGTCGTGTCGTGTTTCATAATGTCGTGCTATAATTGGTGGCAGCGTAGATTTTTATATCTTAAAAAATAAATCTATTGGCAGTGAGAGTGAAGAAATCGTTAAATAATTATTTTATGATATTATGTGAGAAATAATATGTAAGATTAGTCTTATTATTTATATTTAAGAAAGAAAAAAAAAGGGGGGGAAATGTGTAGAAATTTTTTTCCAAATGGAGTAAGGCTTTTTTTCTTAAAATATTTATTAAGGCTCCAATAAAATACAATTTCAATTTCAATAAATAATATACCATGTTCATAGAACAGTCAATAATAGGAAATTATCAAAATAATTTAGCGCTGGTCCATTCTTGTGTGTAATGTACGTATTTAATGGAAAATTACAGATTTTATTCTATTTATTTACGTACATAATTTAAGAGTATTAATCAAAATTTTGAAATATTTTTTTAAAGTTTAAAGATATTTTTGAAATAGAATAATAACTGAAACTAACAGGTAAGGATAATTTTGAATTTTTTTTTAATTTAAAGATTTGATTGAAATTTTTAAAATTTTAAAAATATTTTTTTAGGAAGAATTTAAAGTTTAAAAGTTATTTTTGTTAACTTGACATTTTTTCCTTAATTAATAAGTAAGTTATCATTATTACAAAACATTAAAATTCGTAACAATACCGTGGGAACTGCTGTGATGTGAACTATGATCTGGATCTTACAGAACAGACCCATCAAACGTTACTTAATCCTGCAAACGTGGCTGCAGACGTGGCTGCAAACGTGGCTGCAAAAATACTGATTCGATTTTTCTTTTTAATTTTAATTCTTAATTTTGTTTAATTTGACACTGGTCACTCTTATGAATAGATGGAAGGAAGTAAATTCTCGAAAAAAATAAATAAATAAATAAAAAATCAACCATTTCGAAAATTGAAAAACAAGTTGTAAAAATCTCATTCACGATTCTAACGAGTGTCAGTCATGTCATATATGTCAACTTTTCAAATTTTGTCGATACTTAAAAACAATTAAGTTGATTTCAGTTTCAACTTCAAGGAAACGCGGATTGGTCGTAATATAAATTAAAGAACAACTCCTTCATGTAGTGGTTGTATGTCTTACGCAACCTCAAACTTTATATAATAATTTAAACTAAAAAAAAATTATTTTACACTATATATTATATTATTTTATAGTTTTGTATTTTTTTTTTTTTTTTTTTTTTTAAGTTCTAAGATATACAGCATAGTTTTTTATTTTCGAATTATAATATATATTCAATATATATTATGGAACGAAAAATGGAGGAGGAGGTTATTATCTAATTGGCAGATATTTTTCAAATATCAAATTCCAAAGTAACGCAGGCCAGTTACCGAACAACTGCCGGGCTTGCGGGTGGGAATAATGGGCCACTTCTTTTCCCCTTAAAATCGGCCCATATTTATGCAAAATGGGCCAAGAAGGCTCATTGACTTTATTTTTTTATTTTTTAATTAAGAAAAAGATTTAAAAAAACGAGAAGCACGATGGAGCGCGTGGGACGTGAACAATTGAGGAGACTCCAAAGGAGCAGTTGAAACGGCTGAAGGACACGCGTCACCATCCTGTTTCCCAGAGACAATCATATTGCATATTTAATTATCCCAAAGGTTAAATTATTATTAAAACTAATAAATGAAAAGGACGAAATTGTAAAATTTTTTTTAAAAAAAATGTACCGATGAACGAAACCGTCAGCCACCGCCAGCGCCGCCGTTGATGGCCGCCAGAATCTGAAATATCCTTAATTTAATTTAATTTATTTTTAAAATTTTTGTTGAGCGCATCAAAAGCCACAAAACTGAGGTTTTTCCAGACCATCATGTTTTTTCTCCCCAATAATAGAAGCCGTACTTCTGCGTGTCTGAAAGTGAATATCATTTTTTGGGGGCTCACAGATTAAATTGAAAGCCCCATTTTTGGTTACGAGATGCAGCGGCGGGTTGATCATCGAATAATGAAAGCGCAGTATCAGGATCAATGGATCAATCTTTGAACAAAAGATGCAATTTTTCTGACTGGGTTTCAATGGATCGGTGGTCAGGAAAGGCCGTCTTGAGCTCATGCTCTCCGGCGGGGTGGCCACAAAGCTACATAACCAATTCTATTTCTAACCCTATGGCCGCGCCCGAAGGTGCCATTGTCTGGAACGCTGGCACCGCCCCCGCCAACCCCAGTAACAATAGTGGCGCAATTAAGCCTCCATGACATGATTTAAAGCAGCAGATACCATAGACCACAATCTTAGGAATTTGATTCTTATTTTGATTCACAATAAGAATCAAAATATTATTCTTTCACTAATTCACTTGCGCAGATCTTGATGAAATTCCAATGAGCTGATGGAATTTGAACCCAATTTTGTTCAATGCTGTTAGAACAAGAGCTAGCTAGCTAAATAGTTTTAAAAAAAAAAAAACTGAGAGGTCTGTAACAACCTAAGCCTACTGTGAGAGTGACATGATAGGTAATAAGCTAAAACAAACAATATCTATTGATGGTGGGTTTGAACGGTTACAAGATAGACACCAGGCAGTTTGCTAGCTAGAATGCTACTCCCCAACCGGGTGAATTGTGAGATCTCATGTCGAAGAAACAAAGTATTTATAATGGTGTAGAAACCTTTTCGTTTCAAATATGTTTTAAAATCGTGAGACTGACGGAAATATGCAATAGATCAATGCTGACAATACCTGAGGGCGGTGGGGTTGAGCTGTTACAAAGACTCCCCTTCAAATAAGAGAATACGATGTTTTTTCTCTAATGATAATCGAGGCACACAAATCGACCATAAATCGAACGATCAAATGGTTAAATCGAAGCATGCACGAGTGGAGTGATGATGATAACATAAGAAGCACATCACATTGCCCTACGACGCTGTGGGTACCCCGCCACCATCATTTGGTCACCTGCCCCTTGGCCAGATAACATAACCCTTTCCATTCCATTGTTGACTAAACCATTATTAATATTATATATCATATTATATGATGATACCCTCTTTCTCTTTGCTATCATTGCATGGAATTGTTTAGCGCCATGAATGCCCCTTCCAAGCTTTTAAACCATAGCTGGACTCATTGCCCACATTCACCTTCTTCTCTGCCATCATCACCCACTTCCCTTTACAATTGACCCTACTCACTCAATTACATAAACAATTACTAATCCTTGTACTACTTTAATCTATTCGAGATTATCACAACCATGATCCATTAAATAAAGCTCGTGTCAAACTTACGTATCTTAAAATTGAGCTACAAAAAAGACGATCCGTTCGTATGTTTCTTTCTTTTTATGTTGTTATTGGGGAAAGGGAAGAAAAATGACAAGATAAAAGGCCAAAAATGAAAGAAAAAAAAAGTGTCTCCTTTCCTTTATGATGCAGCTAGGCTAGCTTTGGGACCAAACTTGAATTGAAGTCACTTTAGTTTAAGAGATAGCTTCTTCATCATTAAGTGAAGCTCGAAATTGGGCAGCTCGATTATAATTTGAAAACGACTCCACATTCCAAAAAGAACTCGACTTTCATAATTAATTGTCGAACGTTAGCTTTAAAATGTCGAAAAGATCACAAATTCGAATCTAAATTTCATTACCATTACAAAATAACAAATCTTCCACTGATTTCTTCCTATACCCTTAGCTATACATACCCACGAAAAAAAAAAAAAAGAAAAGAAAAAAAGAAAAGAAAAGAAAAACGTATCCGATCCTTTGAATACATGCATGTAAGTCCATGCGTAGGTGAGATTAATCCAAATTCTAAATTGTTGATAGGATGGTATTATAGCGACGAATGAAAGAGGATCCGAGGTTCCTCTCAGCGCAATTACCTATAAAATTCTCAAACCCACATCGATAAAGTTTAAGGGTTTGAGCTGTTCTTGCAGCTGACATGATCTCTCCGATCCCACTCCTCTCCTCAACTTTATTCTTTGTCTTTTCTTATATAGACACCCAATGCTTTGATCTCCTAGAATAGAGAAGCAATTGAGGACCCATTATTCGTCGGATCATGCCAATTGCTCGTCGCCGTGGTTGCCGAGTTCCAGAACCGAGAAGAGTCGGAAAAATTTGATGGATCGACTTGCTCGGTTTGATTATGGGACAGCCTATTAAGTCAATGCGAACAAATGATTAATTTTTATACGTTCAATCTATCAATTTAAACTTTTGAGTTCAACGGTGATTTACCTGTTCAAGTCTTCCTTCATCAAACCAGCTTCGAAATTACCGAAAAGCTGCGAATTTCGATCGAATGAGATGGCGGGAGGATGGAAGTGAGTTGCATGAATTGAAATATCTTGAATTTTCTTAG